ATGAGTAATCTTAAATTCAATATAATAATACAAACACATGGCCGCAAAATTGATTCCTCGCACAATCTTGTTTACATTCTTGATGATTAGTTCGCTTAACATGACCGTTTTCATCAATTTGCGCTCTGCCACCGTTAGCCTTAATGGATTCATCCTGACATTTACAACAATCTGATTTACACCTTAAAAATTCAAAGTATATTATTGCGTTAATTAACGATCTTGGATTTAAATAGAATCAAGAATACATTTTGAATCTTACAAGTGACCGCATTCTGAAATTTGAAATCCACAATTCTCATGACACTTTACGTCATTAATCGGCTTGTGGCACTAGTAAGATAATGAGAAGTTAGATTCATTAACAATATCATATGAACTTCTAGGATAACGTACGCACATTCACAATAGCCACATGTTCGCAACGCGCTAAATAGGAAAGAGACAAATGTTTTGTCAATTTTGATAAAAAAAATCGTTAAACAAACGAATAGATGGTATAAAATTTGTAATGAGTAATAATTACGCAGTTTTTTGGGGACTTTTGTTTTGCATAGGACACTCTTTCGATTACGACTCTGATGGCATACCGCATTTTTATAAATATGGCCACAGGGTAGCTCGATATCACCAACTGGAAAATTGCATTCTCCACATATTTCTCCACACAAACGTTTGCCTATAGACATACATTATATAATAATTTAGTTATTGATACATACCGTAGTTAATTGATTTAAATATTCCTAACTTACATGGATGGCCACATTCATGCAAGCGGGTACATTCCTTCTTGCAGAAAATAGAGATGTGACTACATAATATGAATCGAAAATTAGATGTCAGTTTTAATCGGTTAAACAAATTAATACCTTATACGAACTTAGGATCATCGGGGTGACATTTATATGGACCTGTGGCGATAATATAATGACTTTATAAACATCGCATTGTCTTTTCAAACTCAATCTCATATAAAAATACTTACAAATATGACCACATTTAAGAGCTCTCCCACAGCTAAGCGTGCATCCTCCGTCAGGAGATACTTCACCGAACTTTTTGGGATCAGTGATGATGGTTTTATGATTGGGATGCCGTACACATACAATTGGGAATCCGGGACCAATTTGCGGTGGCCGACGGGATTCGAGAATATTGATCACATCGGCCCATATCTCTGATTTATTTTTCATAAGCTTGGCGTTACCAATAAGATACATTCCATGTCGAGCCCTCGAAAGCAAAACATTTGTTCTATTTCTTGACTTTAGGAAGCCAATGGACCCTCCATAATTTTTCTTCGTGGTATTTCTGACAAGTGAAATGATAACGATGTCCGCCTCTTCACCTACACGAAATAAATAAAATCATATTATACATACAATTTCCATCTATAGAAAGACTCCATGTTGTAGGCAGTTGGCTTAAATTTGATAGCAAACCTTGAAAGTTATCGATAGTTCGTAGCACGACCTTGTAAATAACATAAATGTCAAGAAAAGTCCATTTCAAACGTTATGACTAAAAAAAATGCATGGCCATAACCAGACCTGTTGGTTTAATCTTCTCTTAGACGCTATGCTCCTCTTCTCGGCTTTAGGCGATGGTTCTTGCTGATTATTGTCTTCCATTTGATCTTGGAACTTAGCAAGCGCATCACTATCACGTTCATCTATCACTACCATGAATGAACTTGCTAACGCGTCTCTTATTTTTATCAATTGTCCTAGAATCGATTTAAAGGAATACTCATTACATCTTGAAAATAATATTCTCTTGGTTTTCTTATATACAGTATATAAAATAATTACCAACCTAAATACGGCGTAAGGACTGCAATTTGTTCGGCTTTTGCATATCCATTTCTAACAAAGTACTATATGGCAATTTAATAATGTTTGGCTTCAAATTCCAATTATATAAAATACTAATTATCTATTATTTGTCTATTTACCTTTACCATTTCAACAATCATTTTAACTTCAAATTCATTAGAATGAGACTGAAGAGCAAACTCGCTCCTCATCGGATCTTCGGGATTTTGGTGGTCAATGAAGAAAACATTAGATTGAACACCATGAACGTTAGGATATAACAATGTTTCATCATGATCTTCCAAGTCTGGGTAGATCGTATTCCTGACTAAGTCTGCAATTTCTCTCCTCATACGTCGCTGAGTTAAAAGTTGCGTGGCTTCCACCTTCGTGCAAGAATTCTTCCCATGTACAAGACGTTCGAATAAACTAACATCCAAATCATAGTTCTTTCCAATATCCGAGTCGATGGACAAATCGTGCTAAGAAGGAAGAATGTTAATATGAGAGGCTGTGATGTGAATACACTAATATATTGTGTATAGGTATCTTACGGTGCCTACACATATTAAAAAAAGATTAATAACGATAAAATACATAAAATAAAAATAAAAAAAAGTTATCTCGATAATTACAAATCTTGGGACGCAATTGATTATGATCACCTATAAGAATAATTTGTTGTATTGAGGGTGTCAGACTACTTAAAATATGTGCTTCTAGGACTTCACCTAATAATTATATAATCGTGATCATTAGAGAATGTAACAAAAACATTACATTATTAATAGATTGCGTGAAAGCAGACATACCGGCTTCTTCACAAATAATGATTTTGGGCGCAATTGACCTTAATGTACATTTTGAATCATTTTTTACTTCAAGCTAGTGAGACACGACTTAATAAATAAACAATAATACAGTAATTTACCTGATAAGATCGTGATGCTTTGCAGCGCCGCTTGTAGTTACACCAATAACATCGCATTTACTTAAAATATCACGTCGTTCTTCAATTAAAAGTTTGAATGTAAAAACAACGAATTTATCCCTGGGATGAACATTTACTATAGACGTAATGACAAAAATTTGTACTCACTTTCGTTCTTTATTTTTTCAATTTCGCCTCTAATTTGGTCGTGTGACTTTCTTATTCTTGCGAGCTCTTTGACAGACTCCGAATGAAGTTCTTCTCTCCAAAAGTCATGCAAAATCACACGCTCCGCTTTTGACATATTCCAAACATCATAAACATCCTATTATCGGAAAGTTCATGGTAAATTTCTAGAACATATTATATTTAAGAGTGAATATTAACAGATTCGATACTTTTAATTCCTCCAAACTCCTTGCAGTTTCTGGCATCCTCCACGAATCAAGCCAGTTCAGGAATTCATAATCTTCTTCGTCAATATGATCATAAATATCGGATGCATCTTCTTCTTCTTCGCTTGCTTCTTCGTCAATATGATCATAAATATCGGATGCATCTTCTTCTTCTTCGCTTGCACCTGAGAGTACTTCAAATTTGTTTTTATGAGATTTTTCTTTATTCTTAGGTCTATTTTGAAGTTTTTTTTGTAATTTTTGAGCCTCTTGTAAGTCTACTCCATGAATCCATTGTTCAAAGATCGATGTTTTTCGTTTGCTGCTGCCAACTCTCTTCCATTCTTCATCCTTTTTTTTCCCAGTTTCGTCATTTGATCGACTTTCTTCGATTCCGTCAATTAATAGGACCTCCGGAATGTTGGGATTCAGTAAGTTTTCATAATGCTCGGGAAATTCATCCATCAAATACGATTTGACTAACGGAAGATTCCAATCGATCCATCGAAGCATTTGACGCTCCGTAATTTTTTTCGCCTCTTCTTCGATTTGTTCAAGTTCGCTTCTGGCGCGTCCTAATAATGCACCAAGTCTCTGATCTTTACGCCTATTGCAAATCGTATCGATCTGATATTCCCCGATGATTTCTGATTTTGACCGTGAGCCCATTCGAACAAAATTCTTTATGTTATGGTTTAATAGACCTGAGAATTATTACGTGGAAGTTGGTAGTCTCGTTATATTAGAAATGTAGATAATTTTTAATCAAGCAAATAAATAAATATAGCAAAGAAATTACTTAATAAAAATGAATCCAACGCATGGTTGGTATAAGTAATCGTAAGGATTGGTCCTAATTTACTGGTTATACGATTTTTTTTTTCAAGCAATACGCGCATAATCTGCACACCAATGTACGTTTTTCCGGTTCCAGGAGGTCCTAATAATTAGAAATTTTCCGTATGTTTAGGGAAAGTCACATGAATAACGGCAATAATGACACCTACCTTCAATCAATGCAACCTCGCGACTTAGAGCTGAAACAAGTGCACGAGCTATTTTTTTTTTAAACGGTTATTTATTATTGTAAAAATCAAATTCCAATTAATGTTAAATGTTAAAATAAATTACCTTGAGTTTCGTCAAGTGAACTGTATGTTTTCAGATCTTCGATAACATTATTTTCTGGTTGTAAGTGTTCAAAATCCAGAAGTAATTCTCTGTTTTTATCATTGAGCAAAACCGAAAGCTGTTGAAAGATAGTAATTAATATGCGGCCTATAATGAAGATTAACAACTGAATCCAAAAAATTTACATCAAAATTGAAGCCAGGAGCCCTAGAATAAATAGGTGGGTCAACTTTGGCGACCTCATCGAACATTTCGTTGTCTATTTGTGGAGCAAAATATTTTGCGAAGGGGAAATTTTCAGGTCGTGCTTCTTGTAGAGTTTTCAAAATACTGTGATAACTTTCGAAAAGTAGATCCGTTGACTCAATCATAAAACGATGTTTAACTATTTTGTTAGATGAATGTTTGCTCAAAATATCCTTTATAGCAATCGAATAAATGGTAACATCTATGAAATTAATGTCAATTTTCGCGCTTTCTTCTGCTAACATATCTTCATTTCTACTGGCAACTGTACCAAAATATAATGAATAATCTTTTGCGCTAATAGTCTTGTTTCCATTGTCATAAGCATTCTCATTTGGCCAAAGGAGGCAAACCAGATTTCCGTGCATAAGTCTTTTGACCTTTCCCCAGTATGCTTTGCGCTCTCCGGCTGTTTGTTTACTGATCGGCGGAGTAAATGCAATTCGACAAGAAAAACCTTTATGTTTGTCTACAACAATCTCAGAAAACTCCACATTGGTGTAAACATTCAAATCTCGATTATCTCCATATCTTCCACCCTGAGTCTTAAGTCTCTGAATTTGTGCATCGTTTTCATCTGCTTCGCTAAGAAAGGTAATGAAGCTATTAATGCTTAAACGAAAAGCATTGAGCATATCTTCCCTGAGCAAACGAAATTGCCTGTCGAGAAGACGAGAAATACCCTTGGGCAAGTGATGCGTATCATCGTCTTCATTAATGGCAGGTAAAAAAGGATCGCGTTCGCATAAAGTTTCTTCCCTGGTAGGAATAATAGATATTTTGGAAATTTCACTAAAGTCGTTATCGTGACGTTTTCCATTCGGTGAAAGTTCCCCTTTCGAAGAAAAAAAAAATAATAATGAAAACCAATTCAACTGGAGTCATGACTATAATAAAGAAAGGTGTATAATATACAAACCCGGAGGGTCATAAATTCTTCGTAGGTCCATTGATATTGCTTCATTAAGGTGACAACCGATAACACGTTTGGAAAATAATTTTCGAGGTGATAAGTTATTATCTAGTTTTTCTAACATCATCTTCATATTATCGATGTCTTTATTTAAAATCATAAAAAAATATTCTCGGCACTTAATGTCATATGCGAGCAAGTCAGATGAGTTAATCTGCTGAACCAATGATTCATGCCATTCATCCTTCAATCTTTCAAGCTTCTCGGCTATTTGATGAATAGTTTCATTGGAAGATGCATCTTTTATGCGCTTTAAAAATTCGTTAATCATTCGAACAATAACCAAAAAAAACTGCCCCAACCTAAATAATGTTTGTAATTTTAGCATATAACGATGTCTCAAAATAGAAATTATGATTGTACATACGATGTGGGAATAAATGCATGCGGATCGTCAATAAGTAGCTCGTTTTGACTAACTCGTTGATCAGATATGTTTTGTCTCTTCACCAACTCTTGAAGCATAGACATTACGCTATCATTCATGAACGAATCCTACAAACAATAGAACAAATATAAAGTATAAATGGTTCGATAAATTGAGTCAATGTTTGAGATCAAGTAAACATCAAAATAAGTACAGTATAACAATACCAAGTTATTATAGACAACAAGATAAATCGCATTAACTTGCATATCAAGGATACATTCAATTATTCCACTTCGAGTTAAAAGTGCCAAAAAAGGCAAGATTACTCGTTGAAAAGATGCAATTTTAGCTTGCTTTCCTGCGTCTACAGAAGCTTGTGACATCACAATCTCTCTGATCCTATCTCTTCCGTCCGGTGAACCCAATTCTTCTACAAGAGCATCCAATTCATAGCCTACTTTCTTGGCATCAACAATACATGATGTTATGAATCGCCTCATCTGATGCTGGTTCTTAAATTCTCTGCGGATCAGTCTTTTCCATGATCCTCTATAATTATCTCCATGAGGAACGGAGACAACCATATCGCTCCCATTATATGATAGCGCAGATGAATTAAAACCATTGGAAATTGCTTTGAGTTGTTCGTTTTCTACTTCCTCAGGACGTAGAAGGGATACTGACCCTTGATGGCTTCTACTAAAATTTTGCGAACGGGAATTGATTCTTTTAATATTCATATTTTCAAGGTTTTTTTAAATTGCTAATTACTATGGTTGTAAGAATGTTTTGAGAATTACTGTATTGTATTTATGCTAATTCGGAAAATCTGGTCGCTATTGTCCCCAAAATTGGAAGCTATGACCAAGTTTTCATTGTATTCTTATATAGTATGATCACCCTAATCTAACTTCAGCATATGTCAAACTTTGTGTGATCGCATACGTAATTTAATATCAGTACCATACTCAGTGAAGATCATTGAAATTTCCCACATTAGTTACTATACAGTTATAGGAAAGTACAACTGCGGATTCAAATTACTGTATATCAGCTTATCGCAGTTGTATGAAGATTTGTTCCGATGATCGTAATATTAAAAGAAATAACAGTAATAAAAACTGTTATTAAAAAAGTTAAAAATAAAAAGTATCGTATATCGCTCTATAAAGTAGTATCCTTGGTACAAAAAAACGCCTCATGCTGACTTTAAATGGTGTTCTCCTGGGTATTGTTTATAATAGAGGATACTATTAATAAATGATACTTACTATGTAATAGTTATATACGGTATATGAGTCATAATTTTTTTAATAAAATTATTCAAAATTTAGGAATAAAATAATAGAAATTTCATTAAAAATATTTATTTTATATAATTTATATATACAGCATGTAACAAAATTTTTTGAAATTTTTATTACATAAATAATTTTTTCAAAACAAAAGCAATTCATATGAAATTTTAAATATGTAAACATTATACTATATATTAATAAATTTATATATATATATCCATTAAACCTATCAATTTTTTTTTATAAATTTTTTCTTACAATATTATTTTCTAAAATATATTTTAAACTGGCATAACTATATTAATTATTTATTACAATCTTAAAATTAAATTTTAAAAAAAAAAATTCAAAAAAATTAGATAAATATTGGTCAAAAAATATTGTTACACATAAATTAAAAGCAATTAATCAATACTTATATCATAATCTAAGACTTTTTACAAGAACTTTAACAATTAAATTATTAAATATGAATATTAAAATATCTTATATAATAATTTTAAGACATATAACAATCCTGGGTTATAAAAATAATCTATTTTTAAAATTTTTTATACTTATTACTGTATAAAAAATTTGTATTATTTAAAAAATTTTTTTTAATTATAATTTAAAAAGAACTTTATCTTCTAATAAAATAACATTTTAACTATTTAAAAATACAATTATCCAATAATATAAAAATATAAGACTAGTTAAAAAAAATATTTAAAGCTTGTATTAAATTTTTTTATATAAAAAAAATTTTGTATAAAAAATTTTTTTTCTTTTTGTTATAAAAAAATTATGAATATAAAATTTTATATTAATATTTTGTAAAAAATATAAATCAAAAAATTATTGAATTACTAAATTATAAAAATTACTTTTTTTTACAAATCATAAAATTAAAAAAATTTTTTTTTGATAATATACAAAAACATTCAAAGAAATATTAAAGAAATACTTAAGGAAAATCTTTATCAAAAAAAAATACTTTACTATTTTTTTTTAAGACCAAAAAAAGATATAAAAAAAATAGATATATATTGAAATTTAAAAGAATATTAACTTTTTTTTTATTTCTACACAAATAGACATATACTTGTTTTTTCTTATTGAAAAGAAGAAATATAATTCATAATTAAATAAAAGAGAAAATCAGTATTATATTTTATAAACTATCAGTCAGTTATATATTAGATTAAATATTTTTCTAAACATTAACAAGACTTTGTATTAATTAAATTGTATTAATAAATCAGACAATCTTGTCACTAATATAAATCAAAAAAATATAGATTAAAACAATTCTCACAATATAAACAATAATTATTACATAAGCAAATTTTTTTTGAGATCAAAAAACTAAAAACAGTTTACTCTTTTAAAGATTAACAATAATATAAATATATACTCTTCATATTAAAACAAATATATTCAATATTAAACTTTCATCTAAGAATATATATAAAATATATAACATATAATTAAAAAAAAATACTAATTTCAAGTTGTAAGAGTTTAAATATATTGAAACAGTTTAAACAATGAGCTTGTAATTCAGCAAAAGAAACCATAGAAAAAGACACAAGTGTTTATTCAGAGAATAATTATTATTTTATTAACTCAAGTGAAATACAAGTCTGAGTTTTTACAAAGGTAGAAAGGCCTCCTTTTTATAACTATTCTCCGTTACATAAATAAATATAAAAATACATAAATAAAAATACATATTATTAATACATAAGTTCTTATTGATTCTTCTGAAAGGCTTATGTACCATAAATGTAAAATAAAAAATAAAAAATAAAAAATAATATAATAAATGTTACGTGCACTTAATAATAATGTCCTGTTTTCCAAATAAGTATAAATGTAATTAAACACAATTAGTAATAATAAATGATTAATAATGCTCCAGAGTATTTTATAATATTATGGGAGATTCCATAAGGTTCTGGCATATTCCTGGAAGTTCCGGGGTGTTCTCAAGTATTCTGAAGTATTCCGGTAATTTCTGATTACGTGTTGTATAGTGTAGCAGGCACAGCAAAGTGGAAAAATTGTTACATTCTCCCCTCCTTAAGAGAAGATATCCTTGTCAACTCAAATTCCTTGACTTTTTTACTGGCATTAGTTAAGTTTTCCAAAGGTTCCCATGTTGCATTATATAATAGATATCCCATCCATTTGATTAAATACTGTGGTCTCCTGCAGATAATCCTTTTGTTCAAGATTGTTTCCACTTCATACTTCTCAGTATTAGTTTCAGGTATGAAGATTGGTGGTAATAGTGTAGATCTCTCAAAATCCTCAGGTGTTTCCTAATATGGTTTCAACAAAGATACATGGAAGACAGGGTGAATCCTCAAAGAAAATGGTAGGTCAAGCTTGTATGCAGTGATTGAGATAACTTCAGCAATAGTGTAAGGTCCAATGAATCTAGGAAAGAGCTTCCTTGTTAGTTAGTTTTTATCCACAGGGTTGTTAATATTTTTGGTAGAGAGCAGAACTTTGTTTCCAATCTTGAATTCCATATGGCGGCGATGTTGATTGACATATTTTACTTATCGGTCCTGAGCTTCCAAGAGTGTGTCTTGAGAGATTTTGATCATGTTGTCCCAATGGTTGATAAAGTCAGTGGCGGCAGGTATAGTGTCAGATACTTCTTGTGCAATGGTGATTGGTGTATTTGAGTGTTATCTACAATCCAACTCAAATGGTGTGAATCCTGTAGAAGCTTGTTTGGAATTGTTATAGGCAAACTTGGCAGCAGGTAAGTATTCATCCCAAGTATTTTGATTGTAGATGACATAGATCCTCAGCATTTCCTCCAAAGTCCTGTTAAGATACTCAGTTTGTCCATCAGTTTGGAGGTAGAAAGCAGTCGACATGAATAGTTTGATTCCCAGTTGTTCAAAAAGACTTCTCCAAAAGTGGCTGGTAAAACGTGCATCACGGTCAGAGATAATCACTTTTGGTAATCCATGATTCCTGAAGATGGTGTTGAAGAAGATTTTTGCAACTTCAGAGGCGGTCACAGATGTATGGGTTGGTTGAAATACAGCTCACTTGGTGAAATAGTCAGTGAATACTACAATGGCATCATTCCCTTGACACATTATTGGTAGTTGCATTATAAAATCTATGGAGATGCGCTTCCAATGCTTTGTTGGTAATTCCAGGAGTTGTAGAAGTCCAGCAGAATTTTGATTGGATGGTTTGTTCTTTTGGCAGATATCACAACTGTTGATATATCGTTTGGTGTTCTTGATTATCCTTGGCCAATAGAAATGCCTCGTGATATTTTCATAGATTTTGTTGATCCACAAATGTCCAGCAGTAATGTTGTCATGGTGTTCGTGCAAGATTTTTGTCCTCAATCGCTTATTGTTTGATATTGCCAGTCGTTGGTTCTTTTTCAAGTACAACTTGTTTTCCTTTAGCTCAAAGTTTCATACCCGTGCTCATTTCTTTTCAGTTGCAGACTCAGGATGTTAAAGTGTTTCCCAGATAGGTTTGAAGAACTGATTCTTCAAATACAATTCCTCAAGATTTTCCTCAAGTTGAATAGTGAGAACAGATATAGCGGCCAAGTGTAATTGTCATGAGAGTACGTCAGCTATTACATTTGTTTTCCCAGGTTTGTATTTAATCACAAAGTCATTTGCTTGTAGAGTTTTCAACCAGCAGGCTTGTCAGTGAGATAAATTTTGTTAAGTTTTTATAAATTCCAAAGAGGCATGGTTAGTGATAACGGTGAATTGCTGTCCTTCAAGATATGGTCTCCACAACTTGATGGCATGAACAATTGCCAAAAGTTCCTTTTCATGCACAGGGTAGTTTCGCTTAGCTTGAGAAAGTTTCCTTGATTTATATACAACAGGTTGTTCACCTTTTCCTTGGTCCTAAGAAAGTACAGCACCAATTGCAAAGTCAAAAGCATCGGTAATGATAGTGAAGTATTTGGTAGAGTCAGGAAGAAGAAGAACAGGTGTGGTCATGAGATGAGTTTTTAATTCATCAAAAGCTTTTTGTTGGGCAGGTTCCCATTGGTATGGTGTATCCTTGTGCAGAAGGGCAGTGAGTGATGAAGCGATAGCAGAAAAGTCTTGAACAAATCTCCTATAATAGTTGGCAAGTTTCAAGAAAGACCTTAGTTTAGATACATTGGTTAGTGCAGACCATTCATGAATGGTATTTATTTTCCTTGAATCCACAGAAACTTCTTTTTCAGAAATGATGTGTCCCACATACTCGATACTTTGTTGAATGAATTCATATTTAAAAATTTTGACATATAATTGATGTTCCCTTAGAGTTTGTAAGATGGTGCGGATGTGTTGCAAGTGTTCCCCTTAGTTTTACTATATATAAGAATATCATCCAGATACACAATCACAAATTTGTCAAGATAATCACAAAAGATATAGTTCATCAATGTCATGAAGATTGCAGGTGCATTGGTGAGATCAAATGGCAAAACAAGGAATTCAAAATGACCATAGTGAGTCCTGAATGCTGTTTTTGGAATGTCCTCCTTCTTAATATGGATTTGATAATACCTAGAGTACAAATCAATTTTTGTGAAAAATTTTGCTCCCACCAGTTGATCCATCAGCTCATCGATCCTTGGCAAAGAATACTGGTTTTTGATAATGATTTTGTTTAGTGCGTGGTAATTAATACACAGCCTTAGTGATCCTTCCTTTTTATAAACAAATAGGACAGGAGCACCAAATGGAGATACAGAGGGGTGAATGAATCTCTTTTGAAGCAGATCAGCAAGTTGCCTTTTGAGTTCATTCATTTCCATATAGGACAAGCAGTATACAAGTTGTGACGGTAATTCAGATCCTGATATCAACTCAATGGTATAGTCTACTGTTCGCTTGGGTGATATGTGGTTTAACAGTTCAGATGGAAAGACATCTTTAAAATTTTTGATTAGAGCTTTGGTTTCCGGTGACATGACAGATTTTCCTCAGGATATTCCTCAGTCACAATACAGATGGCAAATAATTTCTTAGATGGTGGTACTTTCGCAAGTTGTTGTCATATTACAAAAATAGAATAGCATCCCAGTAGTGATTGTATGGACTCAGCATTGGCTTTGACATGAATGGTACGTGGTCCATAGTGGAAGGTCATGGTGTTTTTCCTCTAATCAATGATAGAATTGATATGATACAACCATGGTTTTCCTAGAATCACATTATACCTTTGCATGCGCAGCACTTGAGCATCAATTCCAGTGATACGATAGGGTCCCAATTGTAATGAAGAAATATCGATAGCTTTGTTGATTCCTTTTTTATTCCTATCAGCAAAAGACATAGAAAAAGATTTTGTTTCCTTAGTTGGTTGCTTCGTTCGTTAAATAAACTTTTCATTGATGAAATTTCATGACACTCCACTGTCCAGCAAGATCAGTACAGAGTGTCCATTCACCTTGCCATTGAACCTCAAAAGATGTTCCCTGTTGTCCTTCAGGTATGCAAGTTCAGCTTTGTTGTTAAATGATTTGTTAATGATGTGTTCCTCGATATTGTTGAATTTTGTCTTTTGTTATATAGGGTAGGGAGTAAAGATGGGTCCCTAAAGTATTTAGCATATAAAATTTACATCCCTTTACGTCCACGTCCTCTAGAGGACATAATTCCTAGCTCTTTACTTCAATAGGAACATAATTTCAGAAATGATTTGTATAGATGCTTAAAACTATAAAGAACCTTTGTAGGTAGTTTTTTTTTATTCCTTAATATAGAAATGAAAATTTTTAATAGTAAGGGACATTTGAATTATGTCCTCACAAATAATTTAGGAACCCATCTTTAGTAGGGAGCCCTGCACTCCTTTATATGGTGTCCCATTTTTCCACAATGGTGGCATTCCCCTTTTTGTAGTGTAGGAGATGTTGATGATGTTGGTATGTTGTATCCCTTCCCTTTGTTATTGTTATGAAATTTTTCTTTTCCCATATAGTTCAATTCCATGGGGGTTGCCGATGATGTCAGTGCTTTGTTTCCACTGTTAAAAGACTTGTGGATTGTAACAAACTTTTTAGAAGATAAAGAAGAGGATGATGATGAATTTGATGAAGTCCCCTTGATTTTTGTGAGTCCAAACATAGCAGAGTCATAGCAGATTGCAAGCTTCCAAGCTTCCTTAAAAGTATCAGGTGCATGGTAGTTGATCTCCATTTTGGTGGCAGGCTTCAACCTCTCCACAAAGTAGGTAACCTTGTTCAATTTGGCTATGTCATCAATTTGTTCCAAAATATTGTAGAATTGTGCTTCATACTCATGCACACTTTCAATTTGTTTGAGTTGTTTAAGTTGCTGTCACAAATGTTGTTAATAATTTGATAGTTGAAAAGCAGCTCGTAGTTCCGCAGCAAAAGTTTTCCAATCAGCAAAGGCTGGATTATTTCCTGCAGCAGTTATCCTGTTAAGAAACCAATGTAAGGCAGGACCTTCGAAGCCTGTAGCGGCATAATGAATCCTGGCAGCATTATTATTCAATTCTTGGACAAGAAAAAGATTTTGAACTTGAAAAAGCCAAATCATAACATTTTCACTAGGATCACCTCAGTAGGTGGGAATTTTTACAGCAAATTTTGGAGCAGGAGTATGGGCTTGGTGTTAAGCAACTGCATTAACAGCATTAGTAATAGTATCCTTGAAGGTATCCAAAAGTGTTTTGAATTGAGTATTATCCATTTCCAAGAATAGTGTTTGAAACAAAAAAAGGAAGAAGGAAATCTCAAAAGTGTGTATATGTAATCTCAGTAATGTTGAAGTAACAGTCTGCTACTATCAAGTGTAAAAGTTTAAATGTATTGAAACAGTTTAAACAATGAGCTTGTAATTCAGCAAAAGAAACCATAGAAAAAGATACAAGTGTTTATTCAGAGAATAATTATTATTTTATTAACTCAAGTGAAGTACAAGTTTGAGTTTTTACAAAGGTAGAAAGGTCTCCTTTTTATAGCTATTCTCCATTATATAAATAAATATAAAAATACATAAATAAAAATACATATTATTAATATATAAGTCCTTATTGGTTCTTCCGGAAGGCTTATGTACCATAAATATAAAATAAGAAATAAAAGATAATATAATAAATGTTATACATGCTTAATAATAATGTCCTGTTTTCCAAATAAGTATAAATATAATTAAACACAATTAGTAATAATAAATAATTAATAATGCTCCGGAGTATTCCATAATGTTCCGGGAGATTCCGTAAGGTTCCGGTATATTCCTGGAAGTTTTGGGGTGTTCTCAAGTATTCCGGGGTGTTCCGGTGATTTCTGGTCACGTGTTGTATGGCGCAGCAGGCACAGCAAAGTGGAAAAATTATTACACAAGTAATATATTTGACGACTGATCTATGAAAATGGGTAGTTGGTGATTTGGGGTCGAAATTGAGTTTTTGTGTGGAATATATACTTGGGGATGCTATCTACCTTGTGCCGTTTTCCCGACCTCAAGTGTAATAGTAAAGTTTTTCACAACAGCAGTTAGAAGTTTGATAGCACGATACAAGCAAGGTCACCGAAATCTCAAATCCGTACCCTAAAATTCTTGCCGATCATCACAATAATAATTGTAACGGTGTAATGGCAAGTCTGTTGCTCACTCTAGCAGAGACTCGCGTAACCGTTATCAGGTAAGTATGTGATTTGAGGCGTGTTTTATTTGATCGAGCCTTTATTAATTTTTTTCTCTAATTGTTTTCTTACTCTTTATCTTTTACATGCCATTTATACTTCTCTTCCTTTATATCTGGCTATGGCGGCTTAGCCATAGAATAATAGACGCTAATACAATGGTATGGCTAAAGCTAGATGACATAATTCTTTTTCACATTCCTTCCCGTCTCTTCCTAATTACCTAATTATCACAGCCGTCTTGTCATTAACGTGACAATCGGTCACGTGACGGACGTCGCGTTCCATTTTTACCTGTTACATTCCCCCACGCTTATCGTATGCGTACCATGCATTTTTCTTTTCTCTTTATGTGATTAGTTTCTCTCATGGTATTTCTTTAGGTTCTGGGCATTGATTGGGGATGAAAGCACCTTGCCATCCATTGTGCGCAACTGGTATACATGGTCGGATAGTCGATCATGTATGTAAAACAGTCCTCACCACTTAGGGTCGAACTTGTTGCTTCTTGAATACTGTAAGGCGGCTCTGTACATGAGGACTTTGTCTCCTATGCTGTATTCTAGGGATCTCGGGTATCGCTTGTCATGGTAAGTTTTCTGTCGGGCTTGAGCTTGCTGTATGTGGTGAATCGTGGTTTGTCGGACCTCTCTTTTCTCTCATCCTGGTTGTTCCCCTGTTGGTCTTGTTCATCATAGCTCCCGCGGTTTCGTCGATTCGGCATTTCTCCTGTGGTTCTGGAAGCTTGTCGTCGCAATTCGTCGTCCATGCTGTTGGAGGTCCGTCGTGGTAAGTATGGCTTGATTGTTGGCTCTGTTCCACCTAATTTTGTTGGTTTCTTCGGGATGAGGGGCACGATCGTGATCACGGCCATGACAGCTTCCCGGCATTGTTCCTCTTCGGGGCCAGCGTCTCATCAACGGTAAGTGGTTT